GATGAAATCGCGAAGCTGCAAGTGACAGCACGGGTTATATCTGCAGGTCACTTTATTGAGGTCATCTTGATGCTGTTGCGGCCTCTCTTGTTGCCCCTATTCGGACCACTGAACTTTCGAAAAACCCCAGTAATTCTTTACCTTAAATTTCTTATTTTCAAAGGCTCTGTACGATAGAAATGTACATTTCCACTTCACCTTGGTGGTAATGTCAATTAGGCAGAAATTCTCCGAGGCAGTTAGTTTCTATTAATTAAATACTATTAAAGTGTAATAGGGTTAATGTTATGAGCTCTTGAAATATGCTCAAAAGTCTCCTGACACCCCACCGGTCTTTTAATTCTCAGACAACTAGTATTCAGGACATTGGGTTAAAATAGGATCTTTATTTACTTGATTAAGTTAAATTTTGATAAATAAATGCCCCATTTTACAAATACGGAAGAAGAATATGAAGAAGCCTAGAAGTTAAATGGTGTCAGTAGAATGGAGATGATGCTGAAGCAATAAACGAAATTGTGCATCTATAAAATCAATCCATAAAATAGTGGACTGTTTAGGGCATATTATGAGTGATCTAAATTAGGACAGGGGTTTAAAGAAAACTTGATTAGTTACTGAAATTCAAAACGAACATGTTCCGGGTGATACGTCTGTTTTCTCTATGACTTTGCTCTAGTCAAGTTAATTCTGGGAGTCTTTCCAAACATAGGTGAATGTGGCTAGAGATTTCTGAGTATAGTTTAGGCTTATTAGTGTGGCAGTTCGCTTCAACTTCAAACGGTGTAGTGAGTTAGAGACAGCATAGATATTAAGCTAGCTTTAAGGACATATCTTCTTCCACGAAAAACGATAAGCACTCGCTGAACTATACGTTAATCACTGTTTATTACGAAAAATAAAGCTAAATAAGCGGACAAGGTTGACAAGTGATGTTTTGATTATCTTATGTCACCAATACGTATGCTATTTTTCTAAACATCCTTCGGATAATTATTTTAATAAGGCTTCAATTGAACAAAATGCTATGAATTAAATCTTGGCAAAGTTTTTTTCAGTTTAACCTTGGAAGTTCTTTGAATAAGGTCATTCACTTTATAACCCTAAGTTCTTTTATATAGCTTAGAGTTCATTTGAGATTAAGAGTTCTAATTTGATAAATAAATGTCCTTGAAGCGAATATAGGAATAACGGTTAATAATTAGCATTTCCAACAGAATGAAAATTTACTTAAATTTGTTATCTGGCGACGTCTGAAATTGCGCAGAATTTGCAAGATGCTTGGAAAATGGATAAGGAGCTTGACGGAACCTTCCCAGAAATTGAAATTTCATTTGCTGAATGTAATAAAACTCACTAAAAGTATTAAGACAGTCTCATTCATTGCAGCTTATAGGCCTCTGACAACATATATTTCAAATGACAGGCGTTTTGACAGTTATCATTAGCCCTTTAATTGATTTCAGGTGTCACAAAGAGAAAGGAACATCAAAGTGACAAAATTAGAAGGGGAGAGGGGACAGAAGGTGATTCACGGACTAAAACGAGACAGACGAAAGGTAGAAAAGGTGAGGTGAGTACTGTGAAGTAGTCGAATATGACATACAGGGGGGTGATGGTAATTTGAAGTCAGAGGTCAACTGCCGATTAATAGACTTTTTTTTGCCGTATGAGTATACGTTGCGCATGGTGCACCACGTGAAGGTAAGTCTATTGCACACCCGATTTTCACTAAACTAAAACTAATGCCACGTTATGTTTGCGTGGTGCATAACTATGTTATGGCGGAAAAAAGAAATCACATATTCACTCGGACCTCTCAGCCAGCCACCAAGAAATAGTAGTCGTGACAGGCATACAAATCACGCCGTAGGTCTATTTCCTCTTTATTGTTGAGGGAATCTTGTCACAGAGATTACTGAGAATAATTCAAGACTGATTCGCTGCATGTTTCACAAGATATTGGTTTCTTGTCGACTGAGAGGTCTCTATACTCACGATCGTATTTGCGCCCTGCGCGATCAGCAGCATAAACTGTTAGAAAGTGCAAGAGACAAATTTGATAGACACATGAAGCGTTATGTGCATCACAGCCACTTCGTACTAGCACCTTGATAATTTATGAGAAACTAACTAATGAGTCCCGTTTCATTAAATCGAAATGTACAACCTTCGATTTCGAAATAAAATTTAGAACAAATGATTCTAAATTAAATTCAAAATTAAATATCTATTGAACGGAGGTGATAAAATTATTCAAAGATCAGAGACCATCCGTTCAGGCTAATTTTGGTGATTCTCTACCTCACACAAGTCAAGTCCCGTGAAAACAATTAAAGATGGACCGTTAAAATTGAAACTTATTCGGAAAAAAGAGAAACAAGAAGCGTTTTAGGAAAAAGATATAAGTGCGCACCCTCGGTGATGGCAAATTAAGAAAATTTGGCATAATCTTATAGAATTATAATAATAGCTATCACTAATATATTGGAAGCAATGAGAATATTGCGAAGACTCATAAATAACGAATTTCATATACAAGACATTTAATTTAATTTTTAAGACCTGTTACTTTTAATATATAAGTAGAAGATAATTTTCAATAAATGTCCTCTGAATTTCCCAATTTAGTAAATGGTAAAAATATAAGAATATTTAGTAATGTATAGAAATAGTACAAAGTGTCTGCACGAATTTCTTTCTTGTAACTCAGCTAGTAGGGAGTCTATTGCGGTAGATTACTCACGAACAGCATATAAGTCGATTAATCAAGGGAATTCGGGTGGTAACAATCAAAGGATATTCCATATCTATTGTCGGAATTATCACGAACAAAAAATTTTCTTGCCTAAAATCAAAACCAGGTTGAAAGATTGAGTGGGAAAACAACAAAATGATAATAGTACGTAACATTTGTCAGAAAATTAGAACCTATGATTGGATTAGCGTCAAAATGACCTTTCCAAAAAGAGTGGTAATGATTAAACTGCTTGGACAATGACTAAACGATGCATACTTTAAATTAAGAAGAGGGTTTAAGGAGGAGAGTCCTTTCTGAAGGAGTAGAGGAAGGAATTTTGATTGTTTAATTTCATTTCACTTTGGACCTATTTCAAGAATTTCGTTGCTCATGAGGGGTTTGCAAATTGTGGAAGTCAAAACTCCATCAGTTTACGAAAAACCAATACTAAACATGGCATTACAAAACTTGCTGGCTAATCACATAGAAATAGCCATTCACCACGTACCCAAAATCAATTATTTCTCTTCCTTTTCTAAATAAAAAATTATCTTGAGCAGCCGAGAATTATAGAGTTTACTAATTTCAACTTATACTTTGAGGTGAACATGAATAACAGGTATTAGGGAATCGGTGCTAATTTCACAACACATAAAGAGAGAAGGCAATGCTTCTAATGTTTTACAGTAAGTTTAACCCTCTTCAAGTTATCCATCTTCCGGGTATCAAATGCAAGACCAAATTTTGAATATTATCTCAGCCCGTGTGTTGATGAAATAATATGACATCTTCTAAAATATTCCGGCTGGTTTAGAAAGAAACGCACAAAACAATAACTAATGATATTTAAGGAAGAAAGCAGCAATAAAGCGGCGCATAACTATACCCTGTTATTTTGTACTGAAAAATGTATGCCTAGCTGGTTTCACTACCCTATAGTGTTCTATAAAATTTTAAAATTATTTCGAATAACGCTCTTTTTCGAGCTCCATTGCCACTAACGTCCTTCTTATTCATTTAAGAGCATTAAAATTTAAAATGCAATGCCCTTGATATTGTAGCCAAACCAACAAGTTCTCGCTCCAACCAATAGAAAAAACAGCTTACTTAAGGACAAACAAACCTAGAAACCCCACCCCACCCCACCCCCATCCCCACCCACTGACTGCTTTTGGGGAAAAATATCACAGAAACACGTTATGATTTCAACAGTTATTTGATTCATTCCTCCCCAAAGGATTGAGAATGAAAGCAACAAGCAAAAGCGACGAACGCGCTTATTGTGATCATTGTGTAAATAGCATTGGCAGTGTCATAGCGTGTCACAAACACTATAGAAGCAAGAGAGCAGGGAGATAAGAGAGAGAGAGATATTCATTGGCTGGAAGGGATGGTTGGAGTAGATCAGCAAGGTCAACAACTCATGACTTGTTTGCACTTCCTCCATATATATATTTTACAAGTTCTGGGGCTCCACAACAGCGGATTGGAGATGCGATTGTGCAGGCGATTTCTCCCGTTCAGGTGGCAAGGAATTGTGGTTGTGTTGTGGTAATGGCGAATCGCCAGAGGACGCAAAAGGCCACCCAATAGGGTCACAGCATTGAGGGGGACCTAGGGCTCCCCTAGCATGACGAGAGGCACATGGGAGAAGCGTAGAGTGCAAATGCTGGTGCTTCGATGCTGATGACGTGGTCTCTATAGGAAAAAAAACAAGCAGGTATAAAAGCACTAGTTGCATTTTTCTTTCTATAAAAATAGTTGCTCATTTTGTAAGCTACTCAAATCACGTACCCATTGATTGAACACTCATTTTAGAGTGCTGTGATAGACTAGAGGTGGTTGTTTGATGACCCGAGGGAGTATCTACTTAATGAAACAAAAAAACGTTACTTTAAATTAAAGTCTGATAATTTTATCGAATGCTGGCCTGCATAATATGTCGCCTCTTCCTTAGAAGTATAATTATTTGGTTCAGCAAAGTTTTAACATGAAGTAATGCTCAGAAATTCATTCCGGGTCGTATTTGTTTAATCTTTAAAAGTACATTTTCATTCATGCTAAGTTCCACGGTAAGAGTATACTGAGCAATTGGAAGATTCAGGTCATTCAAATTCATTAATAATACCTAAATTTGCACATTTAATTAGTGACCAATGAATATATACCGTGTGAAAGCAAGTGAAACCAGTTAGAAGAAAGATAAAGTGATCAAAGAAGACACTGGTCGAGAAGGAAAACAATCTTCTAATATAGAGGAGACACGGTAGGTAAAAACATTTATCCACTAGAACTGGGCTAACTCAAAGTGATTTTGTAATATTCATATGAATTGACCTAACTACAGCCCTCCTCGCACATATAAAAGGCGCAAATAAGGTATTTGCACGGGGATTTGTTATCACAACGCACCATTCGTTTGTTCAAAATGAGAAAACACGGGCAACCGTTTATTTTCGATATGACCTTCACTTTACTTAGCCAATAGAAGTACTTAGGCAAAAAGTAGTAGTGAAGACAATGACAAGAACCAAGGTATTTGTGAGATAGGGGCTTGTGACAATAAAATATCTCCGCCATAAACACTCCCAGCTCAGTGGGAGTTTATAGCAGGAAGAGAGTGAGAAAGGGGGAGAGAGTGCGCAATTGAACATCTCTCCCCCCTCTCTCTCTTGGCTCCCTGGCCAAATTCGCTTCAGTGCCAGGCCAATCAGATGTGACGAGTGAAGTACATTGAATACACGTCAAAGAGCCAGCATTATTTCTATATTATACACAGAGGCTCTGTGTAAAAATTATGATATCAGTGAAAAAACTGCATTAATTTTGGAGCTCTCCACTAGGTGGCCTGAAACGTAAGATTGACCGTAGAATATGGGCCTTATTCAGAAAAGTTCGTTCATCTTTTCGATCAAATTATTAGGCACAACAGTTATATTTACGACAAGAGGAAATAAAGTAATTCTTCTAGTCTGAAGTCAACTCATAGAAAGTGATGGGTGCTCAAGGTACTGTTTTTCACCAATTGTATTCTTGTTCACGTATTTCAGGCATTCATATGGAAATTTTCTCAAAGATTTACTCGAAATGTATGGCTTAGCTAATCGCAACTGAACTGCAAGATGTCATCTCAGGCATTATCATCACCTACCAACAGATCCAGTCTTCCAATCTTATAGACTCAGGTCAGGATGGTTCATTATGAGCAAGGCAATTAGTAAGGAGGATGGTAATTAGGTGAGAGAGGCAAAACATGAGGCTGCCCTATGGAGAAAAATGAGAAAATAAAATTGACATTTCCAGCCTTCTTCGTCGTAAAAGCCAATAGCACCTGATATACTCCAGCACATTCCAAAACTTCTTGAACGAAAGAATGCCTTTAGTGAAAGACTTACATTAAGCCACTCCTTTTTGAGCAAATACTGATAAACGTGGTTGGCAATCTCACCAGTGAGAGTGCACCAGTGACTATTCAGATATGACAGGCATGCATAGTGAGTACTGTGATATCGATTAACAGGGATTTTTACCCATGAGGAAATATAATGAAATTGAGCATACAAAAGAAATAGATCAGGCGACCAATAAAAGCAATACTCTAAGTTCTCATTTGTCCCTTATACTTACACCTAACCATTTTTTCGAGTGTCAATCGGCGTAAAATTGCAATTTATTGCACAAAAAGGCACATAAAGGCGAAGGGAGAACGTAGAAGGCAAGCTCTTCAACCCAATTACACAATGGAAGAACGGTTAGAAGTGATAATATGTTCACACAAATACGCTTATAGCATCTAAGCTAAAACCAACTAGTTGCTCAATAAGAGACAAGTTTCCATCAAAAAAGCGTAATCAAGCAATAGCTCTAAACATCGCGGATGGAAGTTCATTCAGAAGCCTACAGCTTAGCATTTAGATATCGAAGAAACAGTAATCCACAACCCTTAATTAGAAATTAGTGAAACCAATGAAGTTCTTAAATCCACGACTATGCTGTTTTCCACTTCACCATCGAGTAAACTATGTTTCTGTTTCCCGTTATTCACATAGCAACATTCAAGCACATTGAAACTGGTGTTAATGGTAACAATATAACCACTGTCAAATAGCGTACAACGACTAACGCATTAGTGCCACCACCACGCGGGCTTTCAAACTTAATCGATTCGGGTGTGGGCTTTCCTCTGCAATCGTGCGAAATTTGCAATGAATTTAAGTTAAAATTGTAAATGAATACGCTTTCAAAAATTGCTCTACTTGAAAGATAAACTCAAATCGAGAGAAATCGAACTGTAGACATGGTAGCAGAACTAAATACCTCCACCCCCCCCCCCCCACTCACCCAATCTGCCTTTTCCACCACCTTAGTAAAGATCCCCTCGAAAAGCAAGCAGCCAACTAAACCCACTTTCCAAATTTCCAAATAGTCACAAAATTATTCGTTCAGACGTTTGAGAAGAAATCTTTAAATACGATTGATTAATAGAGCCAAAAGCAATGTTTAAAATCAGAAAAAAAGTGGCAACTGATGTGAAGTTTGCGTTAAAAACCCAAAATCACAAAATTATGCACAAGTACACCAGCACTCTATGCATGGCTCATTTAACGAAAGCTTTGAGAGAGAAAATAAGGAAGAGCAGGACAATAGAAGACATTCTGGGGAGGGAGGGGGGTGGGAGCATTTAGAAAGGTGCAAATGAAATCGAGCTACCACAATGTGTGCAAGTTAGCAAACACAAACAGAGGAAAACACGTGACAAAGACATGAACGTGCACACAAACGTGGTGTGTGGCTTTAGCTGATAAAACTTTTGATGTTGGGCTATTTCTACCAAAATTACAAAGCTGTAAATCAGCTGGATTGATAAAGACCAGTATTTGAGTTGTGGCAGTGGAACACACAACGTTTAGTAACTGCTTAGTTGTCCAATTTTATGCAAAGCATGACTCTTCTAGAGGGAGATAGAAGTCAAGGCAATATACATGTACAGTTACTTCAAAGCTGCCTAGAAGATATCACAATGAATAGGGAAGCTTGAGTCAGCATGCATTTAAAAGTGTCCACGCAGTGTGTAATACTCAAGTTTTGGAACAACAGAGACCCTGAAGCTTTACGTGGACGGCGCCTTATCAATAAATATGAAAGTAAACGTTTTATTCCATTGTGAATACATATGCAACCCAACACTACCAAATTCGAAATAATAAGGTGTCAAGATATCCTAACTTCATTGCCTACTATTAGAATCGTCTGCTGCTTCACCCATTCAAACATCCTCTGCAGTGACATCTGGAATAAAATTACATGAAATAATATACAGTGAATCTACATGTTTGTTGGTGTTGGCCAGATTTGATTTCTATACTAGCAATGTTGGCAGTCATCGATGTTGCTGTTGGCAATGATGGCGGTGGGTTATTGAATGTGAAGGATGACTGATCTGTGTTGGAATCACCTCCAAAGGATTGCTGTTGCGACGACGGGGATGGCGCTTGTTCGAAGTCTGGGTTGGAGGATGGGGGTACCTTTTCTGCCGAACTGCAGGAGGCAGGGGCGGTAGTGTCAGCAACGGCAGTAATAGGGATTTTGGCATAGAGCCAGGGGAACTCCACACAAGGAGGAAGGGAGATGTCGGGAAGACAAGTGCAGGGTTCACGACACCGCCATCGACAGTCGTAGGCAATCAGATCCTCCATCGATCGACCATCGGGTGGAATGTTAAAGCGAGCTTGCAGAAAAGCCGGCCATGGCACATTGTGCTAAAAGGGAGATGATATACTTAACACATTGGTGAACTCGGAGTGAACTATCGATTGCCCACTTGCAATAAATGACTTTCAGTAAACCGCAAGGGCAGAACCACTTCAAAGGAAAAAGAGCGTCGAAAGCGTGTTACCATTATATTCAATGAGTCTGAATTTCAGACCGCCGAACAACTGATCAAGAAATACCATCAGTTCACTGCCAAATGTAGGCTTCTTGCAAGCAAGAAAATGATAAGCTAGCGTTAAATGTCTTGGATTTTATACGCTTCGCATTTTAAGTTAGCTTAACTAACTCCAAAAGTTGATATCCGATAAACAAACGATTAATCCTATTAGTCATTGACCGATTAGCAAATTTGAGCTTTTGGACACTTTGAGAAGAACACCCATTGGAGAGGACTTGTATGAGTTTCAGGGGCCTTTTTCCCAACTAAAAGTAAATCATGAAAGTGAAAAGCATGTTTTTTTATCTCCCACAAAGACGCACATTTGCTTTCAAGTACGCAACCTACTGTTTGGCAAGCCTGTTCGAGAGAAACTAAAACGAAATATATTGCTTCACAGGCCAGAGCTTTTTATGACACTTACACTCTACCACTCTCTACCCAAATTAGAGAAAATTATCAACATGTTAGAAAGAAGTGTCGCCCTTTCAATTTTAAGTTGTCAAAAGGGAGACGAAAACACCGCCAAGTTAGGGAGCCAGGCAGGAAAAACGAAATGGCTTTATTAATGTCTCTAAAACAATTCAATACAATGCAAATTTAGGAGCATTCGATTTGCCTAAAAGAAGTCAAAAACAATAGATAGTACATTGAATGTCATCCGGCTATCAAAAAAATACAAAACTCGAGAATATATACAAAATTTTAAGGCAATCGAAATTGCCAGGGAAAAATGATTTTTGGCAAATCGCAGAATGCAATAAAGCATCAAAATTCTAGAGAAGACCGCGATACTACAGTAAGAAATATAGAATGTAGAGATTCTATCTTAAGTTTACCAGATATGGAAAGTTCAAGACTAATTAGTAAATACTGGTTCTTGGTTGAACACGCATAGGGTGAGGCGAGTATAAGACCCTAGCATCTGCGCCCCAATTGAAGATTTGACGATTTGTCTTTATGGATAGTAGTCGGAATGGTCAATTCGAGTCAAGAAAGCAAGAGAGATTGGGAGATTGACTAATTTGCAATTGACAAAAATCATTGACATACGGAAGCTATAAAAAGTGTCCCCTCTTAAATTATTCATGGTAATAACTCCACAATATATACGCACGTACCTAAATTAATCAGTGTTCTGTAATTCACGTTGTGTGTGTGCGTGGATAAATGGAGCGAATTCACACAAAGTAAAAATTTATAACACGAAACTCTTGAGAAGTCCAGTGAAATAATGACTGAAAGCGAATAAATTGAATTAAATTACTTCTCATGTAAGGTAAGCCAACTGATAGTCTAAAGCTATTTACTTCCAAATGGGATGTTCGTAATCCAGAGACAAGGAAACTAACGTCCAAATTCCAAATGCTGCATAACATCAGCAAAATTTTATGCTTGAATTATCGGTTCTTTCTTATAAAGCCTTGCGTCGACCAACATGGTACTACTATTATAACATTCTAAATTTTATTCAAAGCAGGGTGTTCGTGTTTTGGATTATTCTAGCCATAGTAAGAACTCCCATTAAAATACGATGATCTGAGTCCGACTGAAATCCCTTCCTCCGCCGATCTCCGTCGCCAAGTCTGTCTTTATTGTCCACCCAGATAGAAAGCATAGCAAAGTTCGACACATTTGAATAACTTTGCACAGACACTCCTCAACTTTGACTTGATAATTATATCTGATATCCAGGGCTAATGATAACCATCAAAACGCCTGCCATTTGATATAAATAAATAATATCTGATATCCCCGTTCCTATTATCTAATGCGCTCTCAACCACTCAAGGTATTTACAAGGACGAGACACCACCACTTCGAATCCTCAGTAACTTCCATCAGCAATCATTTAACCACGTTAGCCTTCTCATATTCTCGAATCTAGATGACTCTCGTTAGAGATAAGACGAAATTTAGAAGCCAGCAGAAATAGACAAGACCATTCACGCGTAAATAGGAAGAGGGACTGTGCCAACGACTTAATAAAGGCAAAATTTCTTACTCTCTTACTGAAGGAGAGAAGAAAGCGAGATAACGCACCTGCAAGTGAAGGTCAAAGAGATCTTCGGGGGATATTTTGGCCTCTCTGGCGAAGCTCTCTCTGCAATGGTAGCAGGGAGAAGTGAGGTAGTTGGGAAGATCGGTTCGGTGGAGATAGTCGTGTCGATCACAAAGGGCACACGTGGCGTTCTCAGGGGCCAGACAACCGACATCCAGCATTTCCACAGAGCTTGCTCCCACATTGCCACCTGTTATACTCACA